TAACACACAGTACCAGCCCAATGGGGAAGGGCTGGACAATGAGGAGGAAGAGGTTTGTATTCCTTTAACAAGTTTTTTCTTTACATGCTTTCTCATAAACATACCTGGTATTTTGTCTCGATTTTTTTCGACCATTCAAAATTATCGCTGTATTAGTATGACAATACTTGCAATGTTTGCATAGGTGGAGGATCTCTCTGACGCTGTGTTTCTGAGCCGCCATGCAGTGTGTGAGAGCAGAGAAAGGAGTCGGTGGGGGAGCTGGGCTCGCAGACGTCGCCGGGGCAGGTGAGAGAAATTTGTGTGTGAGAGGCATATGTGATGGAGAATATTTAAACGGCTGTCAGAATAATGTTTTTTAACAACAGGGATCGATTTGTAATTAAATATTTTAAAATGCTGTATGTTTGGAACATTAAATAAACTCAACGGGTTAGAGCTAGCTTAGCTTTTAGGGCACATTCTTCAACATATTAAGCCACAAGGCTTATGAGGGTGAAACAAATTCCAAAAATAAATAAAATATTAAATGACATAAAAGAAAAAACACAAAAAGAATATAAAATAAAATATAAAAATAATGTATAAAAATATAATTAAAAAAATTATAATATTCTAATTCAGCAATTATGCATTCAATTTGATCAATTGATAGTAAAGACATTCATAATATTACAAAGATTTTTATTTTTAAAATATGCTGTTCTTTTGAACTTTCTATTCATTAAAGAATCCTGAAAAAGTAAGGAGTAATGGTTGCTGAAAATAATTTTTTCTATCACATGAATAATTTATACTTTAAAATATATTAAAACAGAAAATATAATATTTTAAAGATAATAAGCAATAAAAAATAAGCAATAATAATTCACAATATTACTGTTTTTACTGTATTTTTGATCACATAAATGCATCCTTGGTGAGCATAAGATACTTCTTTCAGAAACCATAAAAAAAAATCTTACAGACCTCAAATTTCTGCATTAGAAGTTAGAAGTAGATTGCATTAATGGTTAATGTCACATCATGACTTTTACATAAAATATATATTTGTGTAGTTAACAAATAACTTGCACATGTACTTTTTTTGCACTTCAAGAATGTAGGTTAAAATTTACAGATGTATAAAGGGTAGTTTGGTACTGAAGCTTACACATACACCTATTTCATGCACTCTCTCAATTAATATGTGGCCATAAAACAGTGGGTAGTTTTAAAATAGTTTTAGATGGCGTATAGCATGTCAAACTGCAGGACGCTGTGGTCACTGCTTGACTTCCTCCCTCAGATCTTCTTCCTCCTACCATGGGGATGGGAAGAGCTCCAGGGGATTGGAGCAGACACCTGGCTCTCCAGATTCCAGGCAAAGTCATTTTGCAGAAGGAGACGTCTCGCCATGCAGTCCCTTCTGTACTGGAACGGAGGATCCCTTCAGCCAGGCTGAGGATGAACAGCAGGTGTGTGTGTGTGTGTGTGTGTGTGTGTGAGAGAGAGAGAGGAGGAGGACTTAATGTTCTTTTCAACTTTATTATTGCTGTAACAATGTCAATTAGCACTTTAGTTGGAAGAACATCCTGTAGTTCAAAAACATTTATTTCTCCATGTATCGTTAAATCCTTGAGTCTTCTTTTGGGGGCTATTTGTGCATCCTGAAAGATATATATATGCTTAATATTCTTTACATTGTTAGAGAATATAAATGCATATAATAAACCCCGGTGAATCATCTTCTTCTACATTTGCAGGCTGCGCTGCCATGGGAATGCCGGTCGTTCCCCTTGCAGGAGTCAGAACTTCAGTGGCTGCAGGAGGAGGAAGAGGCGGAGCCCGACGAGGACCCATGCACCGCCAGCGGCCGCAGCCAAAGCACGGACTCGGGCATCTCTGTGGGCAGCCTGGAGCTCTCCCCGAGGACCCCTCAGCCCCCTCAGCAGCACTCAGGCACAGAGCGAGCCACCCCTCACACACTGTCCTGCAAACCAGCCACCCCGACGACAGTCTCTACAGCTCAGGATTCTCCCACACTTCTTCTTTCCTTATACTCATCCTCTCCTTTATCATAGCGCATCATTTGTCCAACAGTTTTTTCTGCTCTAGTATGAAAACAAAACTACAGGTCCCAATGCCATTGACCCTGTCCACCCATTTATCTAACCACGAGCACCTTGTGTCCTTACATCCTGTGCCCTTTCCCTGAACCCTCTGGAGCCTTACATAAAACCACAGAGCCTATTATTTATAATCTTCCCTCAAACCTTCACTCATTCGCCCAATAACAAGTGCATCTTCACCAACAGCCCAGTTTGGCCATTAAGCATCTCTGGTCCTTCCTTATACATCCTTTCAACTCTTCTTCACCAGCCTGCCCCCGATACAGCTGCCATTCAATCTGATGCTACTGTAATGAACAGATGGTGTCTGTTTTTCCGTTGTTTATTCATTTTTTGGACCTGTCTAAAGCTTTTTCTCCAGCTATGTCAGTCAGTCATTTTGTGTTTTAGTTAAATCCTTGTTTAAAGCTCTATGCCGTTTTCACAGATAACGATGTTACGCCAACATGGGACGAATCCAATTTGAAAACTCTTGGTTATTGATCTCCATATAAAGGCACTACATATTACCCTCATATTCTGTGACCTTATTCATGTGTTGTATTGTATGTATTCCGCAGAGATGTATGCATACTGCCGAAGAATCATAGCATTTCAAGTCTGTTTCATGCTCTCTGGGAAGCTAGATGTGTCTTTCCTTTTGAGCTCAACACAAGAAGTATTTTTTTTTATTATTATTTACATATGACGTGTGTGTGTGTGTGTATATTATGTTAAAGGAAGAGTGATAGTTCTTGTGTTAATCAGAGAGTGAGTATGTGTGTGTGATTTAGACAGGTCTGCTGTACTGCTGCATTAGGGGTAGCGTTGAATAAAAACATCATTTTGTAGGAACACAACAAAACTAAGTAAAGTAAATGGAATTTCTATTTGAAACGCACATGATGCTCTCAATGCAAAGACGTAATAAAAGGAATAAACACATAAATGCAAACTACTTTTGCTTGATGCTTTACTTATTATTTATGTTCCTGTATAGAAGAGCATTTAAAAAAATGGCACAAAAAGTTATTATTATGAGACAGTAATAATTATGAGAATTAAAATGATGACAAACTAAATCATTAATATGAGATAACATCTCCAATTGAGCTCAACACAAGAAGTATTTTTTTTAATTATTATTTACATATGACGTGTGTGTGTGTGTATATTATGTTAAAGGAAGAGTGATAGTTCTTGTGTTAATCAGAGAGTGAGTATGTGTGTGTGATTTAGACAGGTCTGCTGTACTGCTGCATTAGGGGTAGCGTTGAATAAAAACATCATTTTGTAGGAACACAACAAAACTAAGTAAAGTAAATGGAATTTCTATTTGAAACGCACATGATGCTCTCAATGCAAAGACGTAATAAAAGGAATAAACACATAAATGCAAACTACTTTTGCTTGATGCTTTACTTATTATTTATGTTCCTGTATAGAAGAGCATTTAAAAAAATGGCACAAAAAGTTATTATTATGAGACAGTAATAATTATGAGAATTAAAATGATGACAAACTAAATCATTAATATGATAACATCTCCAAATTATTAGATAAATAGTATTAATGGAAGTTTATTTTTTTCAGTTTTTATTTTTTCATATTCATAATTACCTTTTTTTCATCATTACTAATTCTTATGTCAGTTTCCACTTCATCTCAATTATGATTTAGTAGCCTATGCTTAATTATGATTTACCAAAGCATGTTTTTTTTACTTATCTGGTGAAAATGGGCTTTCATATTCCTGTCTATTTGTCCTAAAGGGATAGTATTATTTCATCAAAAAAATATCTCATTTATTCATTTATATTATTTATTTTCTCTCTTTTTTTTGTCATCGTTTACTTACCACCATGGAGTACTAACCCATTTTCTTTATTCTGTAATACACAAAGGAGATCTTATAGTTTAAGCTATTTTCATTCAGTTCGATGTAAAAACAATAGGCTAAGTATGTCTTGCATCCTTTAATGTTAGCGAACATTGCAAATAAATTGGTTGCAAAACGGTATCCACTCACGTTTAACTTTTTGTCTGGTTGTTACGGTCAGAAAAAAAAACTGAATCACATTACATGTTATATAGCCTAGCCAATGATCACTAGATTTTATACAGATGTTACTATAATGAATCTGTAAATGGTGATCAGCACCCAAATATTGTATATAATAATGTGGAAGTTACTGCCTTTGCCTTGGCGTGACATCTCACTTTTTGCAGACAGTGCAAAGGCGAAGTACCTACAATAACTTCACAATAGCGGTAAAAATCAAGTTTGAGATCATTTTCATTAAAACATCTAATTGCCAGATTTCCAGTGTCCTACCCATAGTTATTTTTTTCTGGACAAATAAAAATCTTTAAAGCCATTTTTTAAGTTTCACACAGTCTAGCGAGTTTCACACTCTGGAGCAGAGCGGCAGTCCACCTGTCACTCAAGTGTCTGTCACCACCTGTCACTCAAGCCCTTAATTATGCAGAACTTTAAGGCTTAATATAATTTAAACAGATGAGTTATAAAAAAATTCCCCCGCCTCACAGTCAGTTTTAGTCACTTCCGTATTGGCTTCAAGCGAGACCGGTTGCCGCTGCATCGCGTCGGTCACGTGACACGGGAGAACCAATCGCGTTTTGGTCTTGGAACTTGACCACGAATGTTAATTTTCCGATGTATGACTTTTACTGTCTTTTGATTCCTCCCCTAGCATATTAAATTCCTGTATAAACTTGTATAAGCCGGTTTGCAGGTTTGTTATCCTTTCATACATTGTAAGGATTAAATAATTACAAATAAATGCGCTTTCCAATGTTTAATGGTGGCAGTTTTGATATTTCACAGCGGGACAAACAGCGTACTCTTCCATTACAATAGGTGGCGCTAATGCGCTGAAATAGTCTGCCACGCCCAAATGATGAACCACGAGACGGATCTACAAGGAAGAATATACAGCGCATAACAGTAGGTGCATAACACACTGGTGAGTAAATCAAGTAAGAGATGTTTGCTTAAGATTCAATATTGGAACAAAATGTGCTATTTAGATATTACAGTGGTGCTTGTTTTATAAAATGGACAGCACTGTTATTGGTTTATGTATAACTTGTGCAGACAGACACCGCCTTATGCAGTCACTCCTCAATAAACGTTATAGGTCGTGAAATAGCAGAATATCTCTGAACACATCAAATGAAAGAATAGCCATTAAAAAATACAATATTGCCGTTAACCTCTCCAAACGTACAGAAAACATATTATTTGAAGGTTAAGCATGTTAAAAAAAAACATGGTAATTGTTGTAAAGCATTAACCCTCTACCGTATGGTGTGGCCATATGGCAACATGGTCTTTGTGTTCATTTCCTTGCCACTGTCTCTTTAAGAGAACATTCTCGTTTTTTTTGTTGGAAAGAGAAGACCTTAGTTTAGCCAATGATGTGCTTTGGGTAAGTCACATGACATGCAGTTTTTTTTCTGTGGCGAGATTTCTGGCAGACTGCCGTCTCTTGTCGGTAGTAGCTGAAAGCAAACTAAAACGTCAGTAACAAACAAGGACCAGTCCGTGCTTATAATAGCACCAATTGAATCAACACAAACAACATTTCTGAGGAAAAATATGAACTATAAGTCAATTTACACTTATTCTAAGTTAGATCCACTATTGTATGCTGTTGCCGTATGGCAACATATCATAAAGTACCTTAAAATAATATTTTTTTCAAAATTTTTTTTACAGCACTTCAAGTTAAGCCATTCTTCGAAAAGAAAAAGAGTCAAATATTTTTTTCTATAGGTCTATCATAATGCGTGCGGTAGAGGGTTAACTTTCCAAAAGTTATTTACAGTGAATTACAGACATATAAAATAACTTGATAATTGGCTGAAACTTAAAATGTCTTTAGTACATAATAAGCACAATAAATAGTTTTACAATTTAAATGCACACTTATTGACATCCCGGTAGTTTATTGATCTACAAAGGGAATTCTTAAGTAGATATCCACTGTATTTTTTTACTTAAATTATGACTTCAACTATCAAGCATCTTTACTTCATTAATATGACATTTTTCTTTCATTTTATATATATACATATATAATATGCTGATTTCAGGTAAATCTAGCCATGTAAAATATGTCTACATTCTGCAGTATTATAGATTGTAGGCCAAAGGACACATGACCAGAAGGTAAAGTTGTATCTGAAGTAGGTCACATGTAATCAAGTGATTACATAAGGTGCGTTCGACTTCATGCGGCGCCGCGCAAACCGATCGGCGGCTGACTTGAAGCAGTGCATGTCGGTTAGAAATTTAGTCCGACTTGAACCGGCGCCGACGCCACGTCACTGTCACGTGTGGCATCAAAGTACCGCGATAGTGTTTCGAGAGCAGCCGGCTGACTCAGCTGGCGCAGCTTTTTCAGAGCGACTGCAGGAGTGCTGATGACGACACAGCTGTTTCACGATTGGTCAAATTCACCACATGACAACAATGACCTGTGTTTCTAACATCTTCAAATCCAATACTGCTCATAAATTTGTGTTTTTAGAACAGTAAAGCTTTTTTACTGTAGTCGCAATGTTATATTGAGTCACGTTTATCATGAAAGCATATATATCCCCACTTTATTAGTATTTAAATAGTACATATTTACGTTGAACTTTATTCTTGAACAGATGGCGCTGTATTAAGCAGTATATAAAAAGTGTTTCTGTTGCTCATGAAAACGTTTCTGAAACGTCTGTGTATTTGACAAATATTGCATTTAATTCACTTCATCTGTGATAGAGTATGCAAACACCGCGCGAGCGTCACTAACGGGAGCAGAAAGTGTCCGGCTTGACGGCTCCGTTTTCAACTCCACCCTCGACTGCAAGCGGCTACTCTCGTTGACTGCCGTCTGTAGCCGTGCTTCAAGTCGAACGCACCTATAGTGTTGTTAGATCATGCCGACTATGTCAAAAATGTTAAACTGAATCTCTATGCCAGAAATATTTATTCCAGTCTCTACCCGATCCCATCAAAATATATGTTTTGTCTGGTATCCAAAACCAGGTTGCAGAGTTTTGCCAGATACCCAAAACCAGTTAACAAAAATGCATTTTGTCTGATACTCAAAACTGTATTAACTAAATGTCTTCAATCAGCCTGAGAGGTAATAGCAGGAAGCAGGAGATGAAGTAATGATTATAAAAATTGAGCAGGGTTTATTGAATCTTGGTTGCATATGTTTCAATGCTCAGACTTTGTCTGAACTTCATCCCTACTTTGTCTGGACTTTGTCTGACCAGCACAAATCCAACAAGTTTTATTATACCAAAACAAAATCAGTGGAAAATTACTGCTTCACAACATCATCATGTGGCATTTAAAACCTTGAAATGGAGACATTCTTTTATCTCTAACTGTTGAAGACAAATGTCCCTTGAAACCACATAATCATCAGACTAAACAACAATAAAAACACAAGGACAGTAAGTAAAATAATAAGCAATAAAATAAAAATTATTAAAAGATAAATAATTATGATTGATTAAATGAGTATAAATTAATAACAAAAAAGACATAACACAGATGCATGGCTACTGTCTTGAAGACACACACACACATACAGGTTGTTATTAAGAATCTTCCAGTATTGGGGAATGGGGGAAAATTCACTGTCCCATTTTATTGGTTCATTAAATTTCCAGCAAAAACAAGCAGTAACAATATTTTATGTTTTCTTTGCAGCATTTCTGTGGCATCATGGGGGTTCACGGACTTACGAGTTTTGTGGAAGGAAATCGTCAGTTCTTCACAGATATGAGACTGCGAGACTGCCGCCTTGTGATTGATGGGTGTAGCTTATATTTTCGATTATATTTCAACTCTGGATTGGATCAGGCACGGGGTGGAGACTACGACACGTTTGTGGTGTTGGTTCGACAATTTTTTGCAGCACTTTCTGAATGCAGCGTGCAGCCGTTCGTCGTGTTAGATGGTGGAATGGACCAGACAGACAAGAAGTTCAAGACACTACAGGAAAGAGCCCAAAGCAAGATTCGAGAGGCTAATGCTCTTTCCCGAGGATCGCACGGTTGCGTTCTCCCTCTGCTTGTATGTGAAGTCTTCAAACAGGTCCTTTCAGAGCTTGGCATACCTTTAGTTCAATGCATTTCCGAAGCTGATTTTGAAATAGCCTCTCTTGCCAAACACTGGGGATGTCCAGTTCTGACCAATGACAGTGACTTCTACATCTTCGACCTTAAAGGTGGCTACCTACCGTTTTCATTCTTCCAATGGAATAACGTCAGCGGTATGGCTACAGAACGCTACATCCCTGCACGCCATTTCACCGTGAACCGCTTCTGCTCACATTTCAACCACATGAACAAGCAGCTCCTCCCTCTATTTGCTGTTGTCATCGGGAACGACTACACACCTGCTAAAATAACCGAGATTTTTTTCAGCCGCGTGGAATTCGAAAGAGCACCCTCCGGTCGGAAGTATGGACGAAGTTCCAGTCCTCGAGTCGAGGGCTTTTTGCTCTGGCTGTCACAGTTTACCAGCCTAGTAGATGCTCTGGACGAAGTCCTGGAGATTTTGGGTGAACAACGGAAAGGAACCTTACGTACGCAGCTCTCCGCAGGAATGCAGGACTACCAGCTTCCTCACAGTAGCAGTTTGGCTCAATACTTCTCAAGTCCCCAACCTGCACTTCCAGATGCCCAGGGGCTCCCAGCAGCACTGGTTTCTCAACCCAAATGGCTTTTAAGGATGGTTGCATCAGGTAGGCTGTCGTCCTTTGTCTTGGATGTGCTTGTACACCAGAAGGTTCTGTTGGTTGCACAGGTGGAGAATAGTCATTTGCCTAGCAGTCATACAAGCTCACTGAGTATCCGAAAGACCATCTACAGCCTTCTGCTTGAAAAGGGAAGACAGGATAGTCAGACGCCACAGGGAGTCACCGATAGAGGAAGAGGAAGGGGAAGACAATCTCAGGGTAAAGGAGGACAGCAATGTGACATCCCATGTGTTGATGAGTATGACAGACAAGAACTTAATCTCAAGAAAAACACAGTGGAGGCTCACCGACCCAACTGTGTGCCACAGCTGACTCTTGCAGCAGTTGACAAGGTGAGAAACTATTTCTGCATGTAAATATTGTCTGTATATTGTTCCACCAATTGCCTTTTGGTTTTTTATTATAGGCGTCTACACAAGTGAGGCTGCAGGTGTTGTTGGGAACACTCGGTGTGATGGACAGTGTTTTACAGCCTTTACCCCCTCATCTTTGCCTTCCTGTGTGTGTGACGTATTTCTGGATGAACAACTGTAAACCAAAGCCCAGTCATCCTCTACTGCAGGCCATATTATTGGGACTGGTGTACGGGGAACTCAGCTGGAGAAGAGCCCATCCTAATGGTATCTCTGATCCCTTTTTTACTCAACATCTGTCTCAGGTGTTTGGTTTGAGAAAAAATATATTGAGAAATTGACATAAATTGTAGATAAAATCTATTATGACGTGAATGAAATTTACTTGCTTATAAACTTGACGTCTTCAGTTTTTAGAGCTTTAATCACCTTCAGTCATATCTTGTTTTGCTCTCTCTATCATGCAGACCCACTATTTGGCAGCAAAGCTTCTGCTTCTGTATGTCAGAGATTATCTCAGCTAAGGGTCAATCCAGGACAAAGGAGGGGCCTTGATCTGGGTTTGGCCCATTTGCTCAGCCAGTGGCAGTCATGTATGTGGGTGGCGTTGTTCCTGAACCAGTTACTGTGCTTCCCGCTACCTGAACCTCAATGTGCCTGGTAGGGTTTGGCCATAAAACAATCCCAGTGAAATATTTCGTAGTTCTCATCTTTGCTGTTTCGAATAAATAATCACCTTCTTCGTTTATCAGATTTGCCCTAAAAAGATTATAGTATATGGGGGAAAAAATACAACTATAATCATATTTGTGCGTAATATCTTTTTGTATGTAATATCTTTGGACAAAACAACTATATACAGGGGTGCACATAAGTTTTTTAGCCTGGTTCTCATAAGAGAACCTGGGGATTTGGTTTGGTCCTCACACTGCACATAGTGTGGCCCATTAAATACAACTATAAAAAAAATAAAGTAATCGTAGTGATAATATTGTTGAACTTTATTTTAGTTTTTTTTTTTAAATAAAATAATAAACGAAGTAATAAAGTGTGATAATACTATTATATTTTAAAATAAAAAAGGCAGTATTAAATACAAATACAACTATTTTATAGTAAACTTAAAAATAAAATGCTAATATTTACTTCTTTTTTTAAAAGATGAATTTTCATCATTTTCAAACTTAAAATCAGCAGGCTTTTATTTTGGCGGGTTGCCGGCAAGTAAGTATATGCGCTTCTGGGTTTAGTGCTGCCGACTGAAGTGCATCAGTGAATGAAATGTCACAGTTTTGCATTGTGCTTTGAAAACGGCAGAGGGTAGCCTAGATATATTTATCTATTCAGTTTGAATAGAAATCTTATACAGTATTACAGTTTGTCGAGGGGCAACAGAAACAGAGCAATGACCTCTTCAGACAATGCTTTGGACAACAGGTTTGCCCTGTTGACCTTTGACGAATGTCAGCAGTGGTGGGCTTGAAATGGGAGCGGGAAATGAAAGGTTAGTTTAGGAGAGGAGAATAAAGAATTTCAGAGATAGATATGTTTTTAGCTGTTCTTATGCGGCCTTTCACTTTATAAAAGCATGATATGGCTGAGGATGTGCCACTTTTTTCCGAAGAGAGTAGCTTTTACAAACTTCATTTCAGGAAACACAAATTTGTTTTATTTACTATGAAAATTTTTACTATGAGAGCTGTTATACATGCACTAGGTTAAACTAGGTCTGTTTAATGTAGCCTTTTATACTATTTCATTGAATTAACTTTTATGAAAAAGAATGTAGATTTTGTATATTATCAAATGACTCTTTTGGGACCAATGCCTTTTTATTAAATATTTATGGTGATAATTTGCTAGTACAATTAATGTTTTTAATTGGAGCAGATTCCTCTCCTTAATTATGTAAAGCTTGATTATTGTGTCATTGAGACACCAATATGGTGTAGAAACCTTCAGTGTCATTCTGTTTCAATCTCTTGCTTCCTTGCTGTCGCTCTCTGAAATTAAGAGCCAAATTATCAAGTGCAGTTTTATTGGGAAGTCTTATTGTGCTCTAGTGGATGTCAATCAAGGCACATCCTTACAAGAGACTTCATGGACAAAAATCAAGGACAAAAATCCTCGACTTCATTTTGCTCGCGTCGACTAACCGGCAAAATACCGGAAGTGGCACTTTTCACGGACGAGAACCCATCTCGGTTACGTATGTAACCTTGGTTCCCTGAGTAGGGGAACGAGATGCTGCGATGACGTCATCGCTTTGGGAACACCTTCGGTGTGACGAATGTCTGAAGCCCTTATACCATCACGCCAATTCATTGGCCAAATAGCGCTTAGCACCGCCCCCAAAGCTCACGTAGGTGAGTAAACTGATTTACAAAGGAAGCGCTATCAAGGTACGGAACGGCCGAGCATCGCAGCATCTCGTTCCCCTACTCAGGGAACCAAGGTTACATACGTAACCGAGATGTTCCCTCTCATAGGCTCACTTCGATGCTGCGATGACGTCATCGCTTTGGGAACGCTATACCATAATGCCTGACGTACCTTAGATAGCTAGAAGACCAAGGAAAGCGTCTGCTCAAGCGGATAAGACCCGGGAGCCAGGAGCCATCCCTACGTCCAGACTATAAAACTTGATGAATGTGCTAGGAGAGGACCATCCTGCCGCAGCACAAACATCTTCCCCTTTAGATCGATGGTCACAAACCAATCTCCGGATTGGACCTGAGACAGAATGGACTTTACTGTTAACATCTTGAACTTGCTCACTCTGAGCACAAGATTTAGACGACGTAAGTCCAAAATCAGACATAAACCACCATCTTTCAGACTCCATCTGAGTGGGGAGTATCTCCTCTATAGCCCCTTTCTCTAGGAGTGATACGATCTCCTGACCTAAAATCGAGGCGTCCCCAGGACGTACCGTCGTAGGAAGAAACCCGCTGAAAGGAGGTGGCCCTTTCTGAAACTGGATAGTGTACCCGTGTCGAATGGTGCGTAGTACCCACCGTGAAATATCGGGCAGGCGTCTCCACGCGGCCCAGTAGTCTGCCAGGGGTCTTGGGTGTTCTACGGTTGAAACGTACACCTGATTTTCTCGTATAGGATCCCGAAGCACCTGAGTGGCGGGAAAAACTATAATGGGAAGATGTCCGATTGTTCTGTCGGGCCTGCCCACTGCCCCAAAAGTGGGAGCCTTGGAGGCCGTCATAAACGGGCCATGCTCGCATGACCCTTGGGCTTTTTCTCGAACTCTGAAGGCTGGAACGCGCAGAGTATCCGAGGAGGTGCTCGTCG